AGTTTCGGTCAATACAAAAGTAGAAATTGCATACCCTGTTTATGACAAGAAGCTCGAAAAACCATACCCTGTTCAGCGGATCATCCCTGTATGGTCCACATATGGAAGTACCCCCACGGGGCTTGGACATGCCTCATTTCTGGCTCAACGTTCTGATGACTGGCATAATGATTATTCTAAGCCCTCCGCAATGCAACACCAATTGGGAGCACTGTGCATGCATCAGGTTGTGTGTTCACTTAGTAAGCTGATTTAAAATGACATACTCACGTGTCTCCTGAGAGTTCATACAGATCTGATAAACCTTTAAGGTGACAAGCAAATTCTTCATAATCTCCTTCCCTGTTAATATAAATACAGTATGAAAAACTGAATACAAAACTGTAATAATCTAAAATGGCAATTACACAAAAAAGGTTGTTTCCTTATCCTAACATAAATTGATTTTTTTGGTTTGTTTGGAGACCATATACAGTATGGTCTTCCAACGTATTAGTTGAACTGGCATTCTTTTGTTTGTTTTGTTTTGTTTTGCTTTTTTGTTTGTTTTTTGTTTGTTTGTTTTTTTTTTTTATTTATTTATTTATTTTGTCAATCATGGAGGGGGAAAGTGCTTATACTGTACAAACTACCAGTCATATGCTATAGCGGCACCCTCTTTTTTGCCTTCCACCAGATGTGGTTGATGGGGGTACTGATTGACATGACTAATGTTTCAAAAGGGTTGACTTACAGTCAAGGAACTTTGCTTACCTCAATACACGAGTCAACTCAGGACAACTCTGTGATATGAAGAAAAAGAGAAATTTAATACATTCATGGATATATAAATTGAGAAGCTAGAAATCTCTTAAGAGAAGTACATGTACAATTACATTACCTCAGGATCCCCAGCATGAGCTACTTTCACTTCAGAGACTTTACCATTAGTTTCCATCTTGACCTTAAACCAGTGTAAACAAGAACTATATTATACATTATATTTTAAATGTTTGAAGTGCATCTTAATACCACCATCTGGTTGGCTCAGTTGGTAAAAGCATCTGTCTGTTGTGTAGAATGTTGTGCGTCAAGCATCAGCCAAACCAACACTCAGGGTCTTAAGATAAACTGAGGAGAAGATGCAGCTGCCTTTGCAATAACATCTGCAAATCGTTAGACCTTCAAATCTTCTCAGGGGAGGACTTAAGTCATGAACAAATTGATTTGTAGCTACAATCATTGCTATTATAATTAGTTGGCACTCTTGACAGATTTTAGTATTTTAGAGGGTACTTCACAAAACACTACCTAGGACTTAACCCCCTCCCCCCGTACAATGTTGGAATTCCTGCAAATTGGCAGAGGGTTGGTGAGTCTGATCAGGGGTACCAAGGGAACAGCAATATTGTACAGGGGGAGGGGAAGAGTGTGACAGAGGAAAGCCATTTTCTGTGTTAGCCAAAATGTGCCATCATGCCAAGTATTTTGGCAATGATTGTAGTTTTCTTGTAAAATGTTCACTTAGATTATCCGGCAAGGTCATGACTTTCTCCTATTCTTTCAAAACTTAATCAAACCCTTTTGTATAACCATAGTTAATAACTAATTATAGTTATCAACTATGGTATAACTAACTAAAGCAATTCAAATACAAATACAAGCCCTTACCTCTACATAAAACATGTCAGAACTGATAAAACAGTCAGTGCCAGTGCCATTGTCATAAAACTTGAGTCTAAGACAAGAAGAAAAATTAATCTTAGCTACTTCAGTTCTTCTTTTGACTTATTTAGGGAGAAATACATGTACAGTGTATGTATATTACAGTGTACATGTACATTGCTCAAACAGCCACAGTGCAGACAGCTAGAGGAGAGTTAAGAAGTGTACCCCACTGCCAGAAATGCTACATACAGTACTTCAGTATCAAAGGATTGAATAAAAGCATATAGCTTTATAGTTAAATACTAACCCAACTTTCCTGGTGATTGCTTCTAGTCTTTGCACAACTCCCTTTATGGAATTATCTATTAAATAAAATTCAATTAATATATGTATTAATAATTGTTGCATGTGGGGCATTTAGGGGGCAATAATATTGCTACTTAAGACAGCATCTTTTTTGTCCACTAAAACAGCCCAAAAATGCCCTGCAATGCTAAATCAAATATGCAGTTTTTTCTTCAACCACAGAATCGGCTAAATGCATGTACATGATTATATACGTACAGTACATACAAGATAGTATTCACTTTCTGACTCTCACTGTACAGGTTTGTCTTATTTGATAGTGGAAAAAATATAATCTCAAAGTCTAAGATTAATTATACCTACTGTAAGTTTTCAGCTAATAAAATCTAATATCAAAAATTACCTTTCATTGCATGTTGTAGCTTATCCAGACATTCTTTGATAAAGCCCTTAACTGGTGCAAGGTTTTCTGTTTGTTGTTGTCTTTCCTGTAGCAAAAAAAATTATTTGATCAGAAGGAAAAATATATTCACAGTTTAGTAAAATGCTGTGTAACAATTGAATCCAAATGATTGCAATGTTGTTTGTATGGACTTGCAATCAAATCTATTAAAGTGTTGTTTGATTGATCCTTCTGTGCTCTCTTACAGGCAAACAAAATATATGAGAGAAAAGAGACCTAGGTTGGTTACTATTTTAATCTTTGATCTTTTACTGCAGATTTACAAGCTTCATATTTTTTACTAAGAAAAATGTTCTATTTCTTGATATTCGTATTTTATATGGTAAATGATTCGTTATATCTTTATATTTACTCACCAATGATGCTCTAATAGCTTTTTTCGAGTCCGTCCATGACTTACACTGTTGACATTTCGATCGAATACTGTTCAATAACTCTGAGAATTTGTTGTGCTCAAGACAAAAGTTGACATTACCAAAAATGTGAACTGAAAACACAAAACAAGAAATATTTGCGAATGCAAACACTGGAATAATCATCTTTGGTATTTTCATTTTTTTAATTAAAAAATGTATATTATTTTCTTCAGATATCAATAAGCTTAGATATGAATTTTTTTTTTGTATCTTTATTGTACAGAAAACATGGAATAGAAAAAGAAAAGAAAAGAAAATGTGAACGAAGATAAGCTTACATGTACTTGTGGACAAAAAACAACGCACATGAAATATTGTTTGGAAGATTATATAGCTACGAAAAGAACTTACTCTTAGTTCCATCAGCGTTGTTGCCAGTAAGTCCAAGTTCAGATTCATAGCCTTTGATGAGGTCTTTTAACTTCAGACAACAAGAACCACAAGTCTCTACTTCGACCGCCATCTTGGATCGACCGCTGACATGACAAAAGACATGCGCGAAGATTGTTGCATAAACAAAAGGGGGAATGGCAGTGTGGTGTGCAAGTTTTCCCGCTTTTTTATCGATTTTAGATTTTGAAAATACTTTTAAACACAGAAGAAGAATTTTCTTTGTTTTAGCGAGTCATTTCTTTCTTCTTTTTTTTAACGAGAAGGCGTGATATTTATATTTCTTGCCAATTACAAATAGACACAGTTATCTTCAAATATAGTTTTCACCTGTAGCCTTCAATCATCATGAACTCCCTCGGCAAAATTCAGACAATTCTCCAGGTAAGAAGATATTAAGATAGAAGAAGATTAATAAAGACTTATTTAAGTGAGATATAGGCGCAAAGACGAAGAGATAAAGAGATAAACCTAGCACTGTAGAGTCGAGAAGATGGAAGAACGGGCTGCCCATGGCACATTAAAAACAAAGTAGCTGAATAAATCAACTAAGAACTCTTAAGCTTACTTGCCAACTATTTCATTCCTCGTATTTGAATTTATAAATCTCGATTTTAAATATTTTAATGTTATACTTTATATTTCAGAATGGAAAGTCAGTTTATTGTGTAATTCGCGCGGGATCCCTGTGGTGTTTTAAAAACTTCGTAAAGCCAGTTCACTCGGCCAAATCCAAGATGGTGGACAAAATTTCACTCAAGTGTTTCGCCGCTATAATATCTGCAAGTTTTGAGTTATATTCTCGACATTTTAAAGCTTCAAATGGCGACAAGATCACCAAAAAAGATTCTATGTTCACTTCCAGACCTTCAGAATAAGGTAAGATTACCAAATATGGATTGACGCGCTAACGACAATTTTATTTGGCCAAGATAATGATCGAAGAGCCATTTTACGTCTACCGCCCGCTTGCAAGCATTGAAAGCTGGCGCCGATATTTTACATTTTTTACAAAAATCTTTGCCATTATTTGCATCAAAACAAGTAAACGTTCATCAGCTTACGTGGTTTACCCTGATGCGAGGGCATTTCCGCGTTTCGTGGGTTTATACTTCGGTATTACAGATTGCAGTTAATCTTTAATTACCAATACCCCCTCCCCCCCCCCCCCCCCCCCCCCCCCCCCCCCACACACACACACACACACACACACACACACACACACACAATTTTCAATATACGAACGCGACCACGACTACGAAATAATAGTGCCAATCTCTGTATCATACTCGTAGTGGGATATGTAGCCAGTAAATCCAGTCATTCATTTGGATCTCAGTCAGAAATGGGCTTGGGCTCGTATCCAACCGCTGCCACCATGTTAAGTAAAGCAAAGTTTATTGAATAACAATGCTAGCGACACACATGGCTATATGGGCATATATGATTACATTGCTTATCATAGCTCAAATTGAGTTAGGTAACTTTTTTGCTATATTCATGGAGTACATTTTACGTCATACCCGCCATGTTGGCGAGTTGACGATGTCTTAAGCTTTCCTCATTAGCTTGTCTTATTAGGTCAACCAAAATAGTGGTCGTTTCTTTGTTATTTTTTTAACACGTGGGATTTTGAGTCACGTGGTGGTTGCACCCCAAGAATTACCTTTTATCTATAGTGACTTGTATATAGATTAGTATAAACTGTATAAAGTAGTTAAGTACCTAACTGATCACTTATGTATAGTCATATAGTTCAGTTACTAATCCCAAATTAATTGCTCTATTGCTGGTTTTCATGTCGGCCATGTTGGAGGAATTTAACAAAAGAATTGTCAATGAATTCTTTTGTTATATCCTCCAACAAGACCGCAACGTCTTTTGTTATTTAATTCTATTGGGAATGGTTGAAAACCATCAATTGCTATCGCAGCTAACAGTCATATACAGTTCTGTTTTGAATATACTTTGAAAGCACGTGATATAAAGATATATATACATTAGCTTGCTCGCGTGCTGTTCATTTGTTATCAGAAATAAGAGGGCAGACAGATAAGCTGACGTCAACGAGCGTGCGCTCTTTCCTTCGATTGCTTTGATCACTAAAAAAAGTTTCTATCGTTTTTGTTATTGTACAAAAATCGACATCAGTGACAGACACATAAAGAACGTATGTCAATTTGCTAAATATACATCATGGAAATTCGTTTAATCTTCGGTTAGCGTGGATGTTGATCCAGACTTGCAACTCCATGTCATGCTGATCATCCTATTAAAATCATAGAAATTAAAAGAGTTAATTTTAGTATCTATGACAATGTTAAGGTTGAATGTTGGTAGCAGGCTCGATGGATACCTTTTAATCGATATTTTGTGAATGCTAATCGATATTCTCGTCTATGCTCGGATGGGATTTTTCTATTCTCTGTCGTAATTTCTTTTCTCTGTTAGTAATTTCTGTTTTTGTACATATTAATTATTCAGTATTATTATTATTATTTTAAATCTCTCCATATTCGCAATATTCGCAATAAATTACCCAAGCTTATATAAGACACCTCAAGAATATAAGCCTATGGTTTCTTCTTTAGGTGTCTTCCTTCTGGATATATATACATTCAATTATAAAATCTGCAATCACTATTTCTTTTATTACATATTTGTACAGTTATTGTTAATAGAATTTTGAATACTTGTTACTATATTTCCAGAAAGGTAGATTGAATAAACTGATTGATTGATTGATTGATGCCCGATCTTTATTCTATTATCTTCAAGCTCGGACCCCATTTTATCTCAAATGGATTCCATAAAGTTACCTGGAAATCTGGACTGACTCTGTTCCGACTTCCTGTCGTCATTTGCCGTCGCGATGTTCTTGGCGAAGTATTTGCCTTCTTCCACTTTCGTTTCATTCTTATAATAATGACTGTAGAAATGGCTGCTAACAAACATATGCCGATGGAACAGCCAGCGATGAGAAGGACACTTTCCAGCCGAAGACTGTCATTTGTTGAATGTATGATGTTTGGTTCTGAAGGCGTTGTAACAGGTTCTGTGGTGGTGGTAACTGTTGTCGATACTTCAGCTGAAGTAGTAACTAAAGTAAAGAGTCCTTTCAATATATAAAAAAACATCTGTGATGAAAACATTGTGGATGGAGCTGTCAATGGTCCGTTTGCATGATGGCGCCATCTTACTGCCAATACCAGATTTCTTCTCGAACTTTCTTTCTTATTCAAATTTGTATTTTTTATGTGAATATTAAGAAAATATACCTTTTTAGCTTCGTTTGTGCACATTTCAGACCATGTGATGTCACTCTTGGGAGTTGATTCTTTCATTGGAAAAAAAATTTCTCAAGGGAATGTCATCTGATCTCAAATGGGAAATTTGCACACGAAGCTAAAGAGGTCCATTGTTTTTAATAAATGGAGCATAAGAAAGTGTGCAAGGGGTTTTGGTAGTGGTGGGGAGCATAAGACAACAAAAAAACGGTTTACATTTAAAAAAATGCATGTACCTTCAGTTGGTTCAGGTGTTTCCTTTTCTGTCACATTAAACACCAACTTCAGGGAAGTTGAGCAAGAAGGTGTGCCTTGATCACGTGCTATCACAACCACTTGATACGAGATTGGTCGAACGAGAAGCATGAGACGAATGGATCCTGTTAACCACTCAATTGAAAACGTTCCATTCCCATTTTCCAAGTGATATCTGACGTCACCGTTGACTCCATTATCTTTATCGACAGCACTGACATTCGCAACAATTGTCCCAATCTTTGTGTTAACAGAGATATTGTACGACGTCTGGAGGAATGGGTCAAATATTGGGCAATTGTCGTTAACATCGATTATTCGTATATATAATTCGCATGAGGCAAACTTCATTGGTTTTCCATTGTCGGAAGCACGGACACCAAGGAAAGCAAAATCCGTCTTCAATTCGTCATACCTCAATGACTTAGATGTGAAGATTTTACCCGACTCTCCTTCAATTGTGAATAGACCACCAGCATCATTGGATAAGAAATACATGACTTCGCCATTTCTCCCTTGGTCTAAATCACTAGCATTAACTTGACCCACGAAGCTTCCCAAAGTAGCATTTTCATACACCGATAGATTGTAAACAGGAGAAGAAAACACTGGTGGGTAAAAGTTTGGTGTGGCTGGCTTGTCGCATTTGATCCCATCGTAGCCTGGATAACAATCACATTTATTGGGTGCCAAGCAAACGCCTTGTTTTGAACAGTCGCTTAACGTACTGCAGTCTGGGGTACTGCAAGCAGCTCCATGCCATAAAGGTTCACAATTGCACAGATCGTAACCAGTGCATTCTCCGTGGCCTGGAAAACAGGAAAATAGAAAATTAAATTAAAACTTATAAATGGAAATTTAAGTATTTAGCTAGAATGTCAGGAGATTCGCTAGATTTCTAGATACAACTATTTGAAAAAATCATTGTCGGTCGGAGATCTGAAGTCTGAGACCGAAATCAATTATCGGTTATAGGCTGTGAACATTCTTGTGTGATTTGACTTAGTAGTTTGCAACAAGTTAATATCTAAATGTACCAACTTTGAGTGATGACCTGTGCTGGTGAATTATCTGGCTAAGTGTATTTTGTCCCAGCAATTCTACTCGATCTCATATTTCAGATTTAAGACCTACGACCGACAACGTTTTTTGAATTACTGGGTGTATACGATCCAAAGCACTTTTTGCAAAGAAAGCATACATTGTATTTGGTGTTTCTTTCGAAAAACAAAATGGCCGCACTCATGAATATCAATGAGTAAAATATCGGTTAAATTGTATTTTAATTCATTTACCTGAACAAAAATTCAAAGCTTCGCATGAAGCATTAGAGCAGTCAGATCCACTAAAACCAATATCACATTCACAAAATCCTGCTTCTTTGCAAATGCCATGATTGCTGCAGTTGTTGAGTTCAGTGCAGGTTGGCTGGCTACAATCTACCCCTTGAAATCCATCGTAACACCTAAAACACAAGTTTTCCGATATTTAGTAAAACTCAGGAAACCTGGCTCTCCGGAGCGTGAGTACTTGATAGAAGGGTTTTAAAGTATGACCATGGAAGCAGGGCTGCAAATATATTTTCTATAAGGATGTCATATATCAGATCGGTGACAAGTTTTGACCTGCCATGCAGTCTGGTTGGACAAAAGCTTCTTTCAAATACTGCAACCGGAAAAATGCTACGCGCCTGCGGCAATTCTGTCATGTGTCGCACTGTTGCTGTCCTTTCCACCGATTGGATTCACTTTTCACTCGTAATTTAAAGGGCTCGAAATGGCGGCCTGCCAATGGCCAAATGCTAGGCCAAATTTAGGGTTTGGCAGTCAAAAATAATTATGCCAAATGGATTATAAAATTACAGGCAAAATTTACTGGACATCATCTTTCACTGTTTATTTATCTATAATGATTGTTCCTATTCACAAATGAATCTCCTCCAATCAAAGTCTTGTCTATATCATGTGGCATGCCATAAAAAATAAATAGCAGATCAACATATATTTCACCTGTCCAAAATTAAAAAACAGTGGCAGGCCAATTTTTTCCCTTTATCGAGCTCGGCAGCGTATTCGACCCTGTATATTACCCTGGCAGCGAATACGTATACGTAAACGTTCTACTATTTCATTTGCATGATAATATAGTTGGTAAATGTCTAATAAGAAAGTTGCTTTCAATTATTGATTTAAGATTCTACTTACCTACAGGACGAGTTTGCCCCATCTCCACTAACACAGTCCCCATGATTACTACAATTAGCCAACATATTGCAATCAGCAGAATCAAGGCACCCATTTCCACTGTAACCAGGGTAACACTGACATTTGTTAGGGGCAACGCATGTTCCATTTCCAGAGCATTGATGTACATCCGGGCAATCAGGAATTGCACAACTTATCCCAGTCCACCCCGCATTACATTCGCACTGGTAGACGTTAACACATCGGCCATGATCTGATTTAAAACATTTAATGACAGATTAGCTCCTTTAGCTCTAAAGTGGAAAAAAAGCTACAAACTTCAGTTGTGAAAAGTCGACTCCAAAATCATTAAGAAACTGAAACATATGTGCCAATGTTAGCTATTTTAATACCTGAACAACGATCAAGATCCAAACAGGAATATTGGCTGCAATTTTTTCCTGTCCAATCTTTATCGCACTTGCAGACATCAAAGTTGACACATTTTCCATGACCGGAACAAGATGACACGTTTAGACATGTTGGGGTAATGCTGCAATCGCTTCCTATAGGCAGGTGATACGGTTTCAATAAAGTAGCATTTACAATAATTATCGTCATTGGCATTGAAATAGGAAAAAGGGGAATCTGTCTGCTTGGAGCTCTATGGATCTAGTCCTTTTTCTGGATAATGGGAGTAATCTATGACAGGAGTTACCTATGAATGATGGGGGTAACTTATGATCCAGTTAGTTGGATTACTATCCAACAGGTGTGACGAGAGAAGTACTGAGAAAACTCCTCTTAACCTTAACTTACCCATATATCCATCATTGCAGAGACATTTGTTTGTAGTCTTGCAGACTCCATGAACTGGACTGGTGCAGTTATTCACATCATAGCAAGTAGCTGGATATTAAATAAAAGTAAAGCTGGTTTAAGACACTAAAAAGCGGAGATGCTTTTAAAGAGTATCTTGGGAAAAAATGTTCTTACCTTTCTCGCTGCAGGTATCTCCTTGCCATCCAACGTTACACTGACAAAACCCTTTGATACATTTACCGTTACTAGTTGAGCAGTTTGGGCACGTCCCTGTTAAATTACGTCAGAATTATAACTAGATTTTTGTTGCATATTCTACATACAGGTTTAGCAGTTTATCATGGTGTTAAATACCTATTTCACACTTTTCTCCAGTCCATCCTTTCAAGCATTCACAAGTTTGATTGACGCAGCGGCCTTTGCCCGAACACTGATCTGGACATCCTAGATGGAGTTTAAAGAATGACTGTGTTACTATCAACCAAGCTATTATCCATCTCAGTCGTCTATCCTTTCTTGCATATATCCATTTAATCATAGATTCATCGATATAACAATACATCCACCATCTACCATTCATCCCTCCATTCATCCATTTATTCGACCTTAAGCCAATTATTTTATTCCATAATTCATTCCTTCAATATTTCTTCCTTCCCTCCTTCCCTCCTTCCCTCCTTCCCTACTTCCCTCCTTCCCTCCTTCCCTCCTTTCTCCCTCCCTCCCTCCCTCCCTTCCTTCCTTCCTTTCTTTCTTCCGTCCGTCCATTTCTTCTCTTATACATCCATCCATTAATCCATCCATCCATCCATCCCCTTTTTCCTTCCTTCATTCGTCTTACCTGTCAGGAGAACTTCTTGCATGGCAAAAGACGTGTCATTTGTCACAGCAACATCGTAGATACAGCTCTTCAAAAGATTATCTGGTAATTTACGAGCCAAGCAGGTCTGTCTTGATTTCTTTTCAATAGGAAAAAGGCTGTCAGAATCTATAGTATCATTGTTATAAAAAAAACAAGTGTACACGCATGTAAATCACAAACCTTTAACAAGTCACTGGGCACATTTGATAGTCCATACATAGGAACATGGCTTGGATCTGTGTATGTCGAGTCCATTACATCATCAGCATGAAAATTGGAAGAGTTCCAGGACCACGAGTCGTATAAACCTGATTGATTGTTGGTAGCTAAAATACGCCCTGTAATATAATTGTTTCTGGTTTAGTTTTGGCACAAAAAAAGATCAAATGACGAATGGCCGGGGGTACGAAGCTTAAACAGCTACAAACTGCAAAATTGTAAGCATATCTTTTGCGTTCTTGAACGAGATTAGTGGAATCGTGCTACAACCCCCTGAATAACACTTAGAAAATAACGACAACGATCGAAGAAACCTTTCATCTAGTGCTGTACAGTGCACTCTCTGTCTCTCTGTAACTCAGATCCCCCTTTTCCCAGCACCACAAATGCACACATGCTAAACATTACTGCCGTCAGTCCTTTTAGACAAGAAATCACAACAAATTTGCTGCAGAAACTGAACACTAAGCGTTGTTTAAATGTAAACAATGTATTAGTCAATAACCATCTCAGTCCTACTTACAAGAATCTGCAAATTTAATTGGATCTGTGTAAAGGTCTCCATTTGGTCCAGTCAAGTCATTCGCAGGATTGTTGTCCATTAAACCACAGATTCCCTGCGTGCGACCTTTGAAATCCGCTGTGAGTGTATATAGAACATTAAGGAACTGTCTTCCCATTGTATCACTGTGCCGCACATAAATCGTTACAGTAACACCTATAGAAACAGATCGAAAATATGTCAAGGTTTATGAAATTCSTGAACAATGCATGGAAAACCCAACTTCAAGAAGTCTTTAGTTTAGTAGGAGGAAGGAAATTCCAGAGTGCCGGAAAAAACCTTTCGATTCAAGAAGAGAACAAACACTTCAGCATGGGGCAACAGGGAATCGAGGAAAAAGGCGAGCTGCTGCTGCTGCTGCCACTGCTGCTGCTGCTACTGCTGCTGCTGCTGCTACTGCTACTACTACTACTGCTGCTGCTGCTGCTGCTACTGCTACTGCTACTGCTACTGCTACTACTACTACTACGCCATCCTGACTCCCCAACAACGAGGCGGATGGACTAATGAACGTGCAAAAAAGCATACCTGTCTTGTACTCAAGGGAAAAGAACACTACTTCGCCCTTATTTTTTTTATCAGATTGTTTCTGGATTTCAAGAAAAGCGGTTTTATTGTCGATTGATAGTTGTTTCCCCAAAGCTGTCGTTAGATTCACCAACGCACCATCAATCCTAAAGCCAAAAAAAAAACAACAAATTGCAGTTACGTTTAGAATGAGGAGTAGAATTTAAATGAATCTTAGTTCAGTAGGTTTCTTTCGAAGTTACCTTAGATGTGGCATATCTGTTGGATCTAATGTTATTTGTGACATGATGCTAACAACGCTGCTGCCAACTTTTAAAGCAATTCCTCCTATCAGAGACGTCCCCTTGTGGGCAAAGAAGCGGAACTGGATTCCAAATGAATTTGGAATACTACGACACCCCCAGAACTCACCAATACCAAAGTAATCAAACTCAACTCCTACAAAAAAAGTTTAAAAAATAGCCATTAAAAAAAAGCTTAAAATTAGCCATTACGAAGTTGAATAAAAGACTGGGTCATGTTGGCATTGCAACGCATTTTGGAACCATGTTCCCTAAAACATGGCCTTTTTGCACTGGCCTTTTGCTGCCAAACTAACTTTTACAACAATTCTATGAAAATTATATGGTAAAACCAGCCAGCTTCCTATCGAAATGCGTCAGTTTGTCGTATGAAAGCCCGTGCATTAATGTATAAGAATAAATTGGCACCGGTCATACTTTTGCACGTCGCGCTGTATCTTGTAGCAATGACAAAAAATATTCTAAAACACTATTCGATTTTTCTTATTTTTTTCTCCTCTTCCTTGCTAATGGCATACGTGATGATTTTCAAATATCATTTCCATTACTCGTTATAATCTATCGATATAGTGTGTTACCATCTAAAGTCTCTAGATGAGGATCACCAAAACCTCCTGTGGGCCGTCTAATTCCACAGCAAAGACCTGTCCAACCTCTAAAACATCTACACTCTGTCTGGCACTTGTTAGAGACCGTACGGCCGTTCCCGGAGCATGCACCTGATAAAATGAATAAGACATTGAATTATTAATCATGAAAAGTTGACGTTTAATTTTCTTCCAAAAAAAGGTGTGGGCACATATAGAAGGTACAGAATTGATGTTGGGAGTAGTGTACATGAGATGGAGAAACGAGCAAATCAAAATGAACATTAAATAACTTTATCGTTCAAATTATAATTTTTTCGTCATTTTGATTGGTCGAGATAACGGCAAATAACTGCCTACAAATAATATTCTGCTCATGCGCATTACGATACAAAAACGTTTTTCTGCATGTAATAATCTGCTGATGCGCAGTAACGTTACATTTGTCAACATGGTTCGCTTCCTTGTCACTTGGTTTGTTTAATAAATAGCAAGAACAGTCAAAGCACAAAACGAAAACGGATAAAAAARCATTTGAATGATAAATTACTCACTTGTGCAAGGATAAACGTCGGGCTGCGAACAGCTACGTCCCTTTCTACCAATTACACAATTTGGACTTCTGCCACACGGAGGATAGTACGGACACTTATATAAGCCATTGACTTTTACAGGTGCTTCTCCACCTTTGCATTTCCTTGATTATATATAATAAGGAAAAAGGTTAAAAATACTATAATTGAAGTCAGGATTCTTAAATAACACTTGAACTGACTTAGAAATTCTGAATCATTTTTGCAGACGTTTCCATCTGTGACCACGAATCTTCTTCAGTGTTTTAGTGTACCGTTGGTATTTGGGCACGCGTACAGGTTGGTGTTATTTATAATATATTCATATTCATACACAGTCAATCTCATTAACGTTGTCCACCGAAAAAAGACATTTACACATTTACACATTTAGACTAAAAGAAATATCACGTGTTTCCTCGAACGTTCTGGCATAAAACAAACGCTGAAATGCCATTATCCATCTTAAATCCTCGCTAAATGGTCGGGACATTCTGGAGTTTCGATTCACGAGTTGAATTTTACATTTAAAGTTCAGGCTGACGCACACGAGGCAAAGAATACATAATGAAACACGTGATATATCTTAGAGTCTAAATGTGTAAATGTGTAAATGTCTTTTTTCGGTGGACAACGTTAATGACATTGACTGTATATACACTTGATTACAGAAAGGCTGTAGTATACATTTATACAGATACCTAATAAGATGCAAGATATCAAATGAGATACAAAACATGCTTAAATACGATTGCTTAACCACTACATTTTGTGGAAAATACTTTTTTAACTTGAATTTGTGCAATACCTAATGTCTATGATTCAAAGATAAATAAGACCAAATAAGTTACTTTTTTTACGTTCTGCATCTCATTTGATATCTTGCATCTCATTAGATATATGTATAAATGTATACTACAACCTTCCTATTCCTAATTAACTTTACCAAAAATAAACGTAACATAACGAGTTCAACAGCAGCAGGAGGAGGCTGGTTTACCATGACAGCCTAGCCAATTACTACAGGCCCAAACTTTGATCGTGGTCAGGTTTATAGGAAAGTGGTCTTCCGTTTAAGAAAAAATGGAACTCCCTTTCTGATCCAACCCTCACGTTTATTACAGTCAAATAAAAGTATGGTTCTGACGGGGAAAAAAGGGGTCCGGTTATACAGTTGGCAACAGCCTCGTGCGAGAAACAAATTAATGTCGCTTACTTACAGTAAACAGTCGCACACTCCTCTATGACTTGAGAACACTCCGATCTGACCATCAGGGCATATACATGGTGGGGGAGGTGTCGGCCTTGTTATTGGACGTCTTGTCCATGGATATGTTGCAGGGGTTTTCCGTGTTGTTTCCCATGGATATGTTGTAGGGGTTTTCCATGTTGTTTTCCATGGATATGTTGCAGGGGTTTTCCATGTTGTTGGTAGAGTGCTTTGTGAAGGCCTTGTTGTAGCTGCTGTAGTAGTAGAGGGCTGGCATTGACACTTATCCTTTTGAATAGAAATTCATGAATATTCGATCCCTTGGTTTTTAACTTCCATTAATAAGTCAATACCAATACATTCCAATAAATTAAATCTATAGTATTTTACCACTTTTAAAATGACGAGATCAGAGATGGATCTAGGGGTTGTTCATTGGAGCCCCCTTTTGTGAAATGTTGCTAAACCAATCATGTTCTTTAAGTGCAGAAGTTTGGAACCCCCTTTTTTTAAAAAAAACTTTGGATTCGCCGCTGGAAGTTTAGAGTACTAAAATGTAGTGACGAGAAAAAAWAGCAACGTCAACTTACTTTAACGTCATAAGGATAGAGTTGCACACAGAAACTTTAAAAAAAAAGGAGTTAAACATGTATTAATAGCAATAATGAAGATCTTGAATAAAATAGTTTTTTATAGCTTTTCTTTACAATATGTAATTTATTTCATTTTCATTATCATTATCATCATCATCATCATTATCATCATTATCATCATTATTTATTATCATTATCATCATCATCATCATTATCTGTATCATCATCATCATTATTTATTATCATTAGAATCATCATCATCATTATCTGTATCATCATCATCATTATTTATTATTATTATTATTATCATTATAATTATCATTATTATTATTAAATGAAAACAATAGCGAAAACAAGGAACAAAGAAACAAATAAACTATAAACAAACGTCTATTTCTAAATACTAAGTCCAACAGTTTTAATGCTTACCTCTTTTTAAGACCACTGTGTACTTTACGATTGTACAAATCGATTGTTTTTGTCTCCCAATTATAAAGTCCAGCGGACAGTTCTCCCACCAGGCTAGTATCCCCATAATATTGATCGACAGTCAATTCGTTGTTCCATTTATTGTCTATGTCAGATGGAGGAAAACACGGAGTAACATCCATTCGAATTCCAAATGGAACTGCTATTGATAGACTCAGTACGACGGGGATTAATTTAGAGATATCCACTCTCAACCCTAAATTAAGAGCGTACATCAACGGATTAATTTAAGCGATCAAATGATTTACGGTTAAAACGGTAGTAATATTAATGTATGCGATGGGAGGAAAGGGGGATTCTAGGAAAGTTTACCACAGTTGGTTGGAAAATCCCGTGGAACCGGATCATTGACTATGGAACAGTCAGTACTAATTGCCCTATTTCATAATGACGTCACATCATTACAAAGTATTGTTTTAACGCTAGGGATCATGGTCGCTAGAGGGGGATGGAATGACAACAACAAATCTTAAATCACAATGAAAGTTGTTTTAAGAGCTGGTGAAGACAAGAACAACTAAATATTACATTTTTCTATTTAACTTACTTATTCCCTTGAAAAATTTCCACCATGTTTTCCATTTGTTGGGGGAGATAAACGGAGTAGTAGCTTGTACTGGAATCTTGTAAGACAACTTTGGTTCAACCATTGCTTCCCATGACACTTTACCATCGGTTTTGATGTTGAGGAGGTTTGCTTCAGGTTTTATTTCAGGAGACTTGCACAGCAAGACAAGAAACAGCAAAATTAGCACTTTATTTTAAAATAAACAAGATTTTTGCTCCTCCCTGTTGGGCCTTAAAATGTTCTGTATTTGTAAACATGTGTGTATCAAGTTAATTTATTATTATTATTATTATTATTATTATTATTATTATTATTATTATTTGAGATTTTGCCCGCAGGCTGGTGCTGTACAATAGCATTCAGAGTCCCCTTTGAGATAAATTGCGCCAATTTCCAACCCCGTAAAATCCCCATACCAATCCCACAATCTACCCATTAAGAAATCATTAGTAATGGCCATTATACACTGATAGTGTTCACTGCCAGGGTTTCTTTATGTCCTTCTTTACGTTACTCTACATCCCCGCCGTTGCAGGGTGAGGTAGTGCGGAGAGACGAGACCGCCATTTTACTTGGTCATCCGAGCCACATGAAGGTCTAACCATTTGTAGTTGTTATTACAAAGGAAGTACCTTATCCTTAGTTATTTTAAGACCCCGAGTGTTGATCCGGCCAGGACTCGAACCACGACGTCCCCCACGAAAGTCCGATGCTCAACCAACTGAGCCAACCGGGTGGCGGTTAATGTTCTGGTTAAAAGATTAGCTCAGCTTTACAGCGCAACGCACAAGTATGACCACGTTTGTATTCGCTTGCTTCTATGCACGGGCTTTTTCTTGCCAAAGAGCGTTTGCGCGCCAGTTTTGTTTCGAAGTGTGTCGGTTTAACGTACAGACCCCGTGCACAGAAGTATGCGAATACATTAAATGTGGTCATACTTTTGGGCTTCGCGCTGTAAATTAGATATTGCATTAATGAATTCAAAATATGGTCTTACATGTACGTTCGAGTCACATCCACGGCGGTTGAACGAGCACATTCCTCCAATGAAGAGATTCTCAATTGCTAATGAGCTTCTTGCCTGTATCTCTGCTGTAGTCTAAAATACAAGTTGAAGAAACAACCGCGAATAAATTTTTGCGGATTGCAGGAAGCTTGGGGCTCTATATTTCCAATTCCAAAGTTTAGGGGGAAAATGGATCGATTTGGCGTTGCAATGCAATGTGGGGATGTTTTACCTGTACGTATGCATGAGAGAATGACAAACACACAAAAATATATACAGTCCAGGCTCTCGTAAGCGACCACTCCGGGATTAATGCAAGCGGGGTTTATATCGTGGACGTAACTAGATCACGTCCCTTACGAGAGTCGTCGCAGAGAGAGCTCCGACTGCATTATCCAACATCTTTGTTTTGCTCTCCTTCTGGGTCTCCCCATATGTTTTTTTGGGATCCAAGATAAAACAAGCTATATGGATCGTTAAAGCAGTCTATTGTGACTGCTGTTCCACAGTATAAGGAATAGAGAATCTTTAGAACCATTTTACCATTCATGGAAATACAAGAGCAAGACCAATTGTTTCCAAATATTAAAAACTAAACTAACCTCTGTTGTAATTTTCTGATTCAGATTTAGCTCAAAAAAGAATGCTGACTTGACGCAAAGAAGAGGTCCAAACGGTATGCAAAATGCTTTTCCTAGTTGCTTTGGACGTACAATAGCCTTAGTTCCAACAAAACTAAAAATAGACAGAAAGTGGAGAAAAGCGATATTTAATTAACGCCAAAAATCTCCACAAGATCGTTAAAAAAAGTTGGAATAAACATTTTCTTCATACAGTGGGCCGTTTGCATGATGGCGTCATTTTACTACTACTAACAAAATGTTTGGCGAAATTTCTTTCTTATCCAAATTTTCATTCCCTCATGAGAATAGCAAGATAAATGCTGCTAATCAAATGAACAAAAAAAGTATTCAAGTGATTCTGCTGGTAATGGTAGTAAATGAACGATAATAACGTGATAATGGAAGTGTCCTATTAGATTGATGAATGCAGGGATGAGTAGATGGATGCATGGATAGGTGGATGGTATGGATGCATGGATGCATGGATGAACAGAAAAGTATAACTCAAAAAAAAAAAACCTGATTATAAGAAGCAAAGATAATAAATGTTTACCTTCGCTTCGTTTTCGCCGAAAGTGCCAAATCTATCTTGACAAAAAATCTGCCAGTTATTTCAATTCCTAGTATCGTATCACTCATTTTTTGTTTGCCATCAGCACCCTTCTCGCTAAAGACACCAAATTTGAAGTTAGGATCGATGTCCACTTCGAATAACGTTCCAACTTTAAGTTCTGTTCCAAATTCCAACTAAGGAGAAATATGCAAAAGGTAAACTTGCAGTTAGTTTTGTATTCACTTAGTATTGATTTCACTTTTACCCATGCCCAATTTTTTCTTCGTGTCTTACCACTTTCAAGCAAGAAAGCAATTAAGCAAGGAAGCAAGCAAAGAAGCAAGGAAGCAAAGATGCAAGCAAGCAAGCAAAGAAGCAAGCAAGCAAGGCAGCAAGGGACCGAAGAAAGAGTAAAGAGAAACGAAGTAAGGGGAATAACATTACAGTTGTACATCATTCTAGAAATTCGATTTGTCATGCGTTATTTCTTACCCCTAAAATTACTTCCTTGGAGTTGCTTTTTGAGAAAGGAAATTTATAACCAACTTCCCGTTTTGCTCTTCTGTGTTTGGCATGTAATTGGTCGATTTGTACTTGTGTAATAGCAGTTCCATTCATRACTGATATCACAGGTAGAACCTCCATGATGACGTATTCCCCATTCACTGATGACGATAACACCTGTTGAATAAAATTGGCAAATCATTAATAGTTAACAATCTTGTTGTCTTCTCTATACTATTGGTTTTTAATCATTTGGATATATATATTATATATATATATAGCCATTTGCAAAAATTATGGCCTTGCACATGGTAACAATATTTTCACATGTGAAAATAACATGCTATTTATTTTGCTTATCATATCTCTTATAGCACTACCTTTGAAATAAAAGGCTGACTTCCCCTTCCAATGACTGAATCATTAACAGATACTTTGTCCTCAGATTCTGARATTAATAACCCTGGATTATTATCACCTCCAGAACATACGATGACGTCGTCTTCTTCTGAGCTTGTGAGGTGTGGCTTGAATCTGCAAAGAAAATGGAATTTTAAAATTGATAATGGCCTTTCGCTGGTAGTGCATCAACCACCTCTGTTTTTTCGTCATTGCAACCCACAATTGCACAACTTTACCAATCCTATTTGACCATAAAATATTTCATTGTTTTTCTTTTCCATTGAGCGACAAAAACGGTACGGTTGAAAGTTCGTAACGACATCAGTTAAAGCCGTACCCTACCTTGTCTTTATCGTGTCGTACATGACGATTGCCGGGCCGGGATGATTTAAGGCGTGATTACACGGAGCAATTTTCTCTGTAAGTTGTCTTGTCTTGTCTTGCAACGGCGACGCGGCACAAACAAGTTGCATGGAGCATGGCAGCCTGTAACCTACAGCTCAATTTCACAAAATGTTGCGATAGTTGCTGCAATTCGTTTCTACTTTTGGCAACGACTAGTCCTCGCTGCACCTTGTAAATACTTTTGCAACTTGTGTCGCAATGCTGTAGCTATACAAGTTGCAGAAAATAGTGCTCCGTTTAATCGCGCCTAACCGACCAAGGACATAAATGCAAGCCATCATTAATCTTATATGGCATTATGCACCTTATAAAGGTTTTGGATCGGTACCAAAAGTTTCCCTTGTATGTTACAAAATTACTTCATGAACTTACTTTTTGGTCCACGTCGATTTCCCATCACATCGTTCCAGCATCGTGTGAATGAACGTTAAACTTTCCGTCTTACGAATATTGGTAACTCTTTCTATAAACCCATGACTTTCTCGTGCTACTATCACGTCTCCTTGGCTTGCATTGATAGAGCTTGCTGCTTCCATTACCAAGTAATGAGACACGACAGATTTTGATCCGATCTGGTATAAATGGCCAACGCACTTGTAGATATATTTGCCTAGGAAATAAGACGTTCCTGCTTTAGTTTACTGTCTAACCGAATTTCTAAAAGTAATTTCTTCTCCCTCAAAAAACATTTATGAACACTTTCGAAGAACAGCCAAAAAGCCAACCTTATTTATTTCCTCCAACACAGTTGTATCTAGTTTATATTATAATATCTGATTTATGGACCCCTAAGAAGCTAAAGAAACGTAGTCAGAGCTAAGTTTAAGGTCAACACTAGGCTGATTTCGGAGATTGTAATGTTGAAGAAAGAATATCAACAATAGGAGTTAATTGGAGTATCACAAATAAGCCCAACGTTTTACTGCCTCCACAGAACTACATCCTTAAAAATGAAAACGAAAGGCAAAATCACTATGCATGGAATTCACTAAAATTACCCTGTATCAGATGCATAGCTGTGTTATTTAAGAGGATACTTCCATTAAACATCCCATCGATTTGCTCTTTGTTTGGTTCTTCCTCTTCTGTCACTTCATCTGTGATTGGCTCAGGTTGAACCTTTTCCTCGAAATCCGCATATTCTATAACATCTTCTAATTCCGCCTCCTCACCAGAAACAAGCGTGTACGGACCTAAGAATTTTCAATTGCAATGCATGTCATCATGTCATCAAGTCGATTAAATCCTGGAAACATGGTTAGAATGTCATTGCAGATCGGAACCCTTTCAGTTGCATTCGCTGTGAGGCTTACTTGGAACATTCATATTTGTTCGAGAGTTAAGTTTTTGTTATTGTTTGTGGTGATGGTGGTGGTGATGATGATGATGGTGATGATGGTGATAGTGTTGGGGGGATTAATGGTGGTTTTAGTGCTGTTGGTGGTGGAATTGGTGATGGTTTTTATGGTGATAATGGGGGTGGTGGTGGAGGTTGTGGTAGGTAGGAAGGTACATTGGTGGTGTTGGTGCATATGGTTATGGTGAAAGGTCGAGGGATGCGCTACTACAAATGGTTTTTGACACTGAATATTTTCTTTACCTATTTGATTTGTCTCATTCACTTTATGCATTATTCCACCAGCCTGTGTACTCGTCATCACGTGACCAACCTCAATACCCAGTTCCTTTGGCACAACGAAGACTGAAGTAACCTCGTCTTTACCAGGTAAGAGTACTGGACAACYGTATATTGTATGCCTATTTGGGTCAATAACCTTGACATTACTGCGCAGCTGSGTATTGTTGACCCTGCTTTTGTCTGAGTAGTCGACCTGCAGCATTCCATGTGGACAGCGGCTGACATTCCATGCACGACACTTCCCGGCTTCCTAGATTGTTGCGTTTTTAAGCAGAAAATAAGAGAAGACGATTCGTACGCATCGCATTTTATGAAAAWATGTATGTYACCGAAAGAAAATGTYGATAATGATATTTACCTCGATGTTGTAACATTTCTCAAGATCTCTACATTTTGCRCATGTTTCCATGTTAGATGAAGGTCTTYCAAAGTTACACTGTTTATGCTGACAATCGACTTGCTAAAATTAAGAAAAGAACAGAAAAAGACATATCAAAATCGAAATAAATAATCCAAACAGCATTTCTACTTTTTAAGATGAATAACGAGTCCGATCTGATTTCCACTTCCCGACTAGTTCGTAAGTAGTTCCACACACACATATACTTCAACAGATGAACGAAGATACATTCAATAATGTTGATCAGGCTATCTAATCTGACCAGGCTATATAAAAACATCCGAAATTCCAGGCAGGATTTAGATAGGCTTTGATTATTTCTAGATTATTTAAATTCGATGAATACGTACCCCAATGTTGTCGGAACAATGGTTTTCAGAACCTACTGTGTAGCAGTGATAGTAGAACCAGTCTGAGCAAGACTTCTTATAGGGGCTGGAATAGTCACCTGGGATACACTGTCGCATTTTATCACACCAACCACAGTAAGGATCAGTGACGCAAGTTGAACAATTTTTGAATTTTGAGCAATACGAGTAAGTACATGCACGTCCTCGGAATGACCATTTGCACTTGCAAACGTTTGGTCCCACGCATTCACCGACGCCAGAACAGTTATGAACGTCTCGACAGGAGGGCTTAGAACAATCTTCTCCTGTCCATCCTCGATAGCAAAAGCACGTGGATCCGATGCAATCACCATTATGTAAGCACCCATTTGGACAACGAATCACTAAAAGAATGCGTAAGGACAAAAATGGTATAGAGCGTTTTCACTCACGTGACAAGGTAGCCATACAATCGAAACTTTCTGCACAGTTTTTGAATAAAAATAGAATTTAAATACCGGAGGATAGAAAAGGTATTGTTTTGGTACACCAACATGCCCGCTGTAAAATCTTTGTTCGTCTGAATGCAATAACAGATTGTATAATCTTAAAAGCCGAGAGGCTATTTTGACTTTACCTTCGCTTCTGCTACAAGCAAAAGAGTAATGGCTCTTGCAAGACACCTCCGTAATATTTCCTTCGTGACTCAAAACTTGACATCGGTCGTCCTGAAGTAGAAATAGCGACAAATAAAATAAAATAAAATAAAATAAAACAATGACAAAAGCAACGGCAACAACATCATTAACGTCATGTCATCATGATCAACATCTAAATTCCTATATACTTCATATTGATCAAATAGTTTAATAATAATAATAATGATAATAATAATAAAGTCCTTTTTCTTACGAGGGTAGTACTTAATAGCCAGTGGCTAACACACCTGTGGCCCTCTATCCGCGATCAAATTGGAATTTACTGGGAGTTGGTTTTTGCGGAGGGAGGAAAGCCGGAGAACCCGGAAAACCCTCGAAGCACAGGAGAGAACCAACAAACAACTCTACTCATATACAACACCGAACCCGGCAGGACTCGAACTCGGGTCGCATTGATGAAAGGCGAGCGCTCACACCGCTACGCCACCCGTGCTTCCAAAGTTCAAAACAATTAGATAACGAATACGTTTATATTTATTTGATTTTTGTACTACTTGCTAATAATAATATAAAATAGTTTAATTACCTTTTCCTTAATGTCATTGCTAATAATCCATAATGGTATCGGTGGCGGCTGGTCATAAGTGCCAGGTTTAATCATAGCCATGATTTTGATTAACAATTCTTTSTCACCTGGAGAGCTCGATACAAGTATATGTCCTCCGTAATACTGTGAAAATAATTCAAAACTTAAAGTTAACAAATAATAATACACGTTTATCAAATAAGAACGATAGGTCATTTAAAATTAATGTTGTTGTTTGTTGGACCTTTTTTGGCCTTCCAGGCGACTAAAATGTCTTTAGATTATTATCCGAACTAAGAGAAAATGGTGTCACCAATAATCGCGATCCCCGATGGCCAAATACCAGCAAACCAACCAGAACTTTTTAAAGTCTTGCATGTACCTTACAATATTTGTCTGCATCCTGGAAGGACTGGACTCCRGCACGAAAGACATAACAAGCTGGACCCATGTTCATCCAGTCAGGAGGACACCCCACTAGAAAATAAGAYAAGCAACAACATTTAACACTAGCTTAAGGTATCGTTGCACTAGACGATTTTCAACGACGAATTTTCGCGTACAATGCTGCTTGAAAAAATGGTTTTCATGTAACATGGCGCACAGGTAAAGATTTTTAACGATATTTTGTTGGGCCTAAATGTTGCAGGTTTTTTAACAACCTTGACAACTCACAACAGTGAAGAACTCAAGAATGTTGTGCTAACATCATCTTTATACTGAGAATCTGTAATCTATAATATATATATTTGGCTGTGACTTAACTATGTCTTTAACATTTTGGCTGTGTTCAACAGCCTTCATTACACGTTTCATACTCACGAGAGAGGATATTTCTTGGTTGTATCTTAACAAATGGCTCAAAAAGAATCTTTGGTAAACGGTTGTYGTTGCCGTGGTCACGTAGTCTTGGTTTAACAGTTGGTATTGTGCCAAATCCAAACCAATTCATTGTAGCATTTACGGGATCCGTGACGGCAGAAATAGTTGTATCAATCTCATAAAGGTTGTGGGGATTCTTCAGGCTATTACCATGATACTGAATTGGTCCATTRGTCCGGATAGTTGCAYCATATTCTGATGCAGTKCCAGTGTTYAAGAAAAATGTATTGTTTATACAGTGCTGTCCTTCATATTTGTCGTTCAAGAATTCGTACTCCATGATCAAAAGGCCAGAATTGTTGAAAAAGAAGTTACCTTCTATTTTTGTGGGTACGTCCTTAATTTTAACAACACTGTTTTTGCTGTTAAAAGCAGAGCCTTTTCCATAATTACTGGAAAAGGAATTTTCCTTGATGTACACTACATCAGGAGTCCCTTTGTTGGACACGAGATATAAGGCTTCCTTACCGTTCTGTACAAACGTGTTTCCATAAACCCAACTTTTCTTTAATTTTCGTCCTTCGAAAAAATTACCTTCACTGTTTTCTGTCTGCACACGTAAACCACCGATAGCGTTACCAGCGACATGATTGTTTGTAAAAAGAAAATCTTTGTCCTTTATCTCTGCAAACACAACACCCGAATAGACGGATTGTTTTGCAGTCTTTGAATTCCCATTCTCGATAAATGCATTTCTTTTCACAGATAAGTGATTCCTTGAAGATGACTTATACATTACGCCATGTATGTCACTGTTTCGGATAACGTTATTCTCCAATTCATCTTTTCCTTAAACGAGAACGAAAAACAAATTCACGGAAAGTATTATCATATAATATACATCAATTAACATAAACATACAGTCAACTCTCGCTTGCAGATACCTCGATATTTAATACAAACACCTTGCTTTTGCGAAACGAAAAGACATCAAGTGACGGTCTTGAGGGTGTCTGCCGTAAAGAGAGTTGACTGTATTTGCTGGGAAATCTCTTTCAAAAAGTATGATTAACTTACACTTTGTTTCAGCAAAGTGCCACATCTTAAAAGTCATCAACATACTTAAGTCTTTATTATAGTACAGAAATTGTGTTATTTAAAGTTTAAAAGAAAGGTGCCCTGGCTATAGAAGCGAGGACCACAATTGCCGGTCATGATCACCGCTGTGTGTGTGTGTG